GTAATGACAGTAAATATTTTTATTTAAATAAAGTCTCACATTTAATGCTTGTTCGCAATAAAAAAAAAAAAAAAAAAGATTTCAATCTTAACTTATTTTTTATTAATTACTATCCAATATATTTATTCATTACATTTAAAAAATCTCTACTGAAATTTTCTATTCTTTTTCATTTTTTTTATTACATTATAAAACAAATAAATTTCTTCTATTGAATATCATTCTTATTGAAAAAAAAATATAAATTTGCAATTATTAATATAAATAAAAATAATGAAATTATTATCACAAAACCTTTCACTATTATTATTATTTTTCTTCTATTTAATTATTTTATAAGATGGCACATTTCTATTTAAAATATTATCTATACAAGTTTTTCAAATCTTTCTATTATACAAGTTGAATTTATAATTAAGAATTAAAACAATCTACATATGCAATTTTCCTTCTCAAAGATAAATTATATAATCAATTAAACAAAATTTTAAATTATTAAAACTCTTTTCAAATTATCTTTATAAATAATAAAACTTTTAAAGAAGGAATATTAAGTTATATTATTAATAAAGTTTAGAACTATTTCAAACATATTTTCTGAAATATAATTAAAATTAATAAAAAGACAAGCAAAAAAAAAAAAGTATTTTCTTTAAATACAAAGTATTAACTTGGTTTAACAAAATATTCAAATATTTTATTTATCACTTTATTTAATAATTTTATTATATCTTTTAATCCTTTATTACTGAACCAATTATAAATAACAAAACTAATTAATTATTATATCTATCAAATACTGTTCTACTCTTTTCTAATTAAAATTTTCTATACTAATTAATAATAATGATTTATCCATATCAATTAATTTGAATTTTTTTATTTCAAGTAATATATTTATAGAAATCTCTTCTAATATATATATTTTTTTAGAAATCAAAAGAAATTTTCTTTCTATTTCAAATAATTTCTCAAATATCTTTACTTACAAAATCTAAATAAATTCTTTTTCTTTTCTATCAAGTCTTTATCTTTTATTACACAAAACTCTTATATCTATAATATTACCAATTTTTTAAGTATTTATAACTTTATTAAATATAACTCTAAATTTAATAAAAGAATAATATTTAAAACTAAAGAAGAGCAGGCCAATATTAGACTTAAAAATTATGAAAATATCTGTATAAAAGAATATTTGCATTATTACATAAGCTAATATTATAACAAGCACAAATTTCTCAAATATAAATTATCTTTGCTATAGGTGTTTTGTTTTTATTGATTTTTTTAATTATATGATTTTTCTTAATTATATTTAAAATAGTGAATATAGTAATTATAGTATAAATAATTAGGATATTTATTATAATTTTATTATAAAATTAAAATATATATAAGAAAAAGATCCAATCTTTAATAAAAAAAACTTTTATAACAAAAACTAAGAAATAATTTGAGTAATTGTTTAATATAAATTTATATTTTTATTAAAATTTTGAAAATTTTATTAATTTTTGATAAATATTATTAATATTTATTAATATTTATTAATTTTAGTTATATAATAGATTATAAACAAGAATGGTAAGTTTTATTAATTAAAATATTATACAAATACAAGTTGAATATTAAATTAATTAAGTAAATTGTTCTTTTTGTTATATAATAGTATAGCTATTTATATAATTTATAATATTTATTATCATATTCTACAAACTTTTAAATAAGCTTTTTAAACTTTTATTCTACTGATATACAGTTTAATGCATTTGACCCTATATTACATTTCTATTTTATATTTTATTTCTTATTATATTATGTTTTATTTCTATTTATATAATTTTTATGCCAATAATACTAATGTAAACCATTATATTGTTATACCTGATATTTGCCAAAAATTATTATATTTCTTTATATTATTTATATTAGTATTTATTATTGAACCTTTCTTAATTTAGAAAAGTTTTGTATTATAGATCTATTAATATATTTTTAATACCTATTGTACTTTTATTATTTCTAGAATATTCTTAATATATTTTATATTTATTTTTTTATATTATTTTTTTCAAAGTATTTATCTATATGTATATTAACATATTAAAATATTTTGATAAAAATAGTATTTACATCTTTACTTATATTGTTACCATAATATATATTTATTATGTATAAAAATGGTATAACTCAAATACTATATATATACTTTTTATTTTTTTGGATGAGTTTTATTGATAAAGTATAAATGACTTTTGGTTTTTAAGAAAGCACTTTAAAAAAATTTTTTTTTGAATAGATGGAAAAGTTTTTTGTTATCTAAATGACAAAATTATATAATAATTTCAAATATACATTAAATCAATAACTAAATTTTTAAAAAATATTATTATTATTTATTGAACAAAAATTTTTTATTTTACAAGATATTTTTATAAAGACAATTGTATATTTTTATATAATATTTATTTTTTAAAAAATAAATATATTTACAACCCTATTTTTTATAAAATTATGATCAAGATGAATGATTTTTAAAAAAATTTATTTATTGATTTAAATTTTTTTAGTTAAATATAAAATTTTTTAAAAAAGATTTGAAAATATATTTGTGATTAAAAAATTCTTTTTTAAAAAAATTTGATTGATTGTTTAAATCAGATTTGATTTTATTGAAATTATTTTTAATAATTCAATTTACTTATTTTATTTTTTATATAATTATATATATTACAGTATACAGTATATGCAGTACAATCTATGTATGTATGTATAGATATACATTCAATGTAATGTTTCTTTTATGATTATTGAAATAAGACCATTTATGTGTCAACCATTCACAGAATTTCGGTTACGTTAATTTATCTCCATCTTCGAGTGCTCGATCCAATACTTTTGCATATAAGCCATTGACAATGTGATTGATACCATACACATCATTCGATCCACACAATAACATGATTTACCGCTTACGATACTGATGCATTAGGTGACCCGTATACAGTAATGTTTTTAAGGGATATGGTATTAAATGTTAACGTAATAAAGATCCAAGATTGCAATTCGAATTCATTCCCGTTTCTTGTAAATGTATTTAGAAATTGCCTGTTACAGTAATTCCCAACGCATGTGCTTGTCCTAATTAGTTTAGTCATAGAAAATACGAGGAGAACAATAAAATAACTGCGTTGGTTAATCAATTCAGATCCTACATGAAAATGTAACTTTATTTGGGCAAATAATTATTACAATGGTTTTCTGTTTTATGGTTTTTTTAATTGGGAGGCGAAAAAAAAAAAAGCGTGAAACAGTTAGCGACCGAATTACTTGGTTAAAAAAAAACTAATATAAAAGCTCTGGGATTTGACTCCTTCAGGACATATTCAACACTTCTTTCCAAGACTTAATTTTCCTTGAATATCTCGAAGAAAGAAACTGTTTCTGTCACGATTATCAAAATGACAAGATTTACCTCAGTTCTTGCAATAACTGGTCTCGCGTTTGCTTTCCTCGGCCTAATCGCTGTCGAGGCAGTCAATTCTCCACCAACTACTGTCGGGGGTTCTGGTAAGCAAATTTTAAATTAATCTTTTTGGTAGTTGTTAAAAATTCACTCCTTGTCATTCTCTTATTTGTTCAAATTGAAAACAGATTTTCCCAAGGGTCTAGTTATTCCCGATTCTATTGCGGTTGATCTCACTCAAAATGAATTTGCATTTGCATTGTACGCTGTAGCAGCACTCGAAGTTCAATGTAATGTGGCTAAGGGCGCCTGGGATTTTAGTATGTAAATTACATCGTGTGATGCTTTCCGATTGTACAATTTATTTAAAAATGTGTATTAAATTATTCAGTTGGACCAGTTGGAATCCTTGTTAACGATCCCGACGACTTTAAACGTGTCTTTGATGATCCTACCTTCGTCACCGCGGTATCAGTAGACGCTGGTAAGCAAATAAAAATCAAGTCAACATATGAAAGTATTTCTCTCATTATTACAGTAGGTAGGTTGAGCTAATTTGTAAGTTTTCATCAGATCCCGGTCTTACCGTACAAGCCGCAGGGTTCAGAGCAGTAATACCCACTGATACTTCGTCGACCCTCTTTGTGGCTAATGGAACTGCGCCCGCACCAAATCCTGATGCCGATGGTCCCTGGCTTAGATCTAAAGCTTTTGTAAGTAATTTTCTAATTCACGACTGCATTATTATGTAACTCCTGTTGAAATCATTCTGTCCCTTAGAATAACACCGGAAGCGGCGCTTTCTCCAGTGTGACCTATCTTCAAAGAGTCCAAACTAAAGGAGCAATTCCACCAGCAGCTAGTCTATGTATGTTTATTCTTGTATGATTTTTTATAATATCAATCTAATGAATGATGACTGAATCGTTTTGTGCAATTAAATACAGGTGGTTCCACTTACCCCGATAAATTTGTCTACTCCTCACGTTTCAGCTGTACGCTGCTTTTCTACAAAGCAAAAAATTAATAAGAGAATCGAATAATATTATAAAATAGATAAAAATTATCGAATTAATACTTTGGGACGTCATGCATACCTGCGTAATTCTAGTCATTAGTTCTCATATAATTAATGCATTGCGTCTCAACGAGGTCAAATATGAATGTAATTACTATCAGTTAAAATAAACATGAAAATTTATATAATATCAACAGATTAATTGATCTTTGCGTTTGTGATGATCAATTTTTCATTGTGAAGACCAGTGAAACAATGTAACGAAGATCTATTTGGTCAAAGTATGTTGATCTTTTTTTTTCCTTATTTTAGTACGTCGACCGTTATCAACTTAATCAAAACTTTAAAATCCATGCCATTCTCGGCTGCATGTACGGTATGTACAAATGTAGCAATATATTGTTCACAAATTTATTCCTTAATAGTTTGTCCATAATGCACCTCAAGTTACTTGCTAAGGAAATACCGTATACGGTAACATTTCAAATCTCCGGTATGTTGTATGAATGAAAGTAAACCAAAACGATAAATATTTTATTTGTTTAGGAAAATGACTAATATGGCTGTGAGAAAAAAGGTACGTGATTGAAAATTCGAATTATTCTAATTAAAGGCCATGAGAGTGCCGAAGATTGACATACTAATTAATTCTTGAAAACAATGTCACTGTTTTCATGGCATTCTGCCTCATGTTTATTTTTTATTGGTTCATTGTACACCAACCTCTGTCGGGGATCTAGTAAAAATTCTTTTCTAAATATTCTTTGTTCTGTCATATGCCCAACAATAACTTTTTTCGTTACTCGCGGCTGATCTTGCAAAAAAAAGATTCTGCATTTTTCTTATTCAATATAATGGACCTCTAAAAGTTGGGATTTTAATATATGAGTTACTTGTTTTGTATGATTTCTTAATTGCGGGTTTAAAATATTTAATATTTAATTTAGCAATTAGTTGAACATAAAATACGTCGTAGGATCCTATTAAACGATCAGTTTACATGATGTAGTTCGTGATACATCGACGGCCCTTTCTGTGATCAAAGAGACTGCACCCGCATCAAACCCTTCCATTGAAAATGATTGAGTTAGATCCAAATACATCGATTGTTTTTTTTTTGTTGTCATCAAATCGTTTGGCCGTCGCTGACTCGGGAGTAACTGTGTTTTTTTTTATAGAGCCAAACCGATAAAGGTGCCTTCTCCAAGGTACAGTAACTACCTTCAGGTATATACAAAAGGATGACTCATATTACCGAGTGATCGGTATACGACATTTACTGGTCTCGGCTATCACTTTGTGCAATCGATATAGCGATCCTTTTTCTGATTAATTTGCCTACTCCTTGAGTTTCAGTTGTATACTGCACTGCTGTTCGATTCTACACCGCACGTAATTAACCATAGTTTAATAATGTTGCACCGGTTTAAAAGATCATCAAATCTTTCTACATACTAATGCGTCACATGACTTTTCGTAGACCGATATACGTAGGGATTCGAAAAATTTCTTGTCACAGTATTACGTACAGTATATGATTTTGCATCAACAAATTTTTTTATCACACCAATGTGCTGTATCTCTCGCTATGAGTGAATAATGTTATTACCTTATGTAAAGTAAACAATATACATAACAATAAGGATTATACGACGAGCTAATAGTAAAAACGTATATCGTGACACAGTAACATGGAAAGTTCTTTGTTCTTTGGATGGAACGAATCAAACCTTTATCTTTGATTATAACAATGTTGCGTTGTACAAAGTCAATACATTTTATTTCGTACTATTTAATACAGCATTATAATGAATATCGACTACAGTATAATGATCATTCTCTTCGAGAGATATGTTATTGCTACTGTAATACTAGATAATTAACAAATAATCGAAAATTGTGCACGTGTCGTTACGATTTTTTATTCTTACTGTTCATTATTGCCCTTTTCGATATAGTACGAATTCTATCGATTTACTGATTTACGCACCCCAGCACCGCATTTTAACAAAACATTCGTACGAATGCATTCCATTCGGAATTCGATGTTAATCCTCACGGTTGTAAGCATTTTGATAATTGACATGATTCTTTTTACGATGAAACTTCTTTATTATTCTGCTGGAAAAAATAAATATTGTAGATGGTTGATCTTGTCCTAACATTATTCAACATGGCAACAAAGTTTTTTATAGTTGATACACTTACAGTGTTTGATCTGATGTTATCTAAACATTATGCTGGCATCCTCTTGAACTCTGACTGCATCGTTAATTTTGTTGAATGAATCGATTCAATAAACGCGCAAAAGATAATCTTATACAATATGAGATCATCCATCACACTAATGCAACTAATAAGAAGATCTACTACTGTAATTAAATTTTCTTTTTCATCATGTATTATATGCAGTATACTCATTTAACCTATTTTCGGATCGAATCTTCTTTCTTTACAATGGTATTTTGAAACATAATCAAAACACCAGGAGTCAATTTTAAACGTGTTGAATCAGAGCGATACCAAATTCAATTCATACTAAATCTTAACGTTCAATTTCAATATTATTAATAGCGATCCATTTTCCTAATTCTACATCAAAAATCTATAAAACGCAACCTTTTCAGCTGCAATTGTTTTCCAGATTAATTTCTCAACACCTCTTCATTCACTTACCACACCTCTTCATTCATTTATTCACCTGTTGAACGGGTTTTTGTTGTTCTAAAAAACATTTTTTTTTTGCATAATTACACATTAACTTTGCCGAAATCTCAAAAAATTTCCATCCTTAAACATGAAATTCGGTGTCATTCTGGCCTTGTGCATGATGCTTGCCACCACGTCATTGGCTCTCCCTTATGCAAGACGCGCGACGACTACACTGACCATCAACCCTTTCCTCTTTGACGTCGCTCCTCCCACCCCCAATGATAATAGCGCCGCTTCATTGAAAGATGTGTGTGATAGTTTATCAGCCACGTTGAATAAAACACTGGCTGACTGTCAAGACAAAAATAAGGGTACTGATGCGTGCAATAAGCCTAACGGCACCCCGATTAACGAAGATGCTGTCGCTAAGCACGCCAAACAATGTGAGGCCCATACATTCGTAAAAGGTGCCTATAGTCCCGATATATTTGGTAATAAATTGTTGTCTATCGATCAAAACGGAAATACCTTTACTGTCGGCAGTGAAACCTTCCAAACTTTATCGGACGCTGTAGTCGGGGCGTGTAAGGAACAGCGACAACGAAATCTCGCAACTCTTGATGATTGCACCAATAATCCGGATAATGCTGATAAGTGTAAGAAGTTGGATGGAACCCAAGTTTCTAGGGAAGAAGTCAACTTACATAACAGCGTCTGCTTTTCTTTCCATGCAAAATAATATACATACATGTATACGTCTTGTTTTATATACTGTATATGGTAAAAATTTAGTTGTGCGTGTGGGGTGAATAAATGCCGAGCATGAAATGTCTTGTTACTCATTGTAATAGAAAATAATAAAGTTCTCCCAGTGATTACGTTTTTGAGAAAATTTACTATTTTTCTTATTATTATTTAATAACCATGAGAAAAAGGGCAACAATGATTGTTCCGAATCGTGATTACGCACAATGGTGTGACAGTACGTACACGTGAAAGTATGTTATACTTGATGATACAATATTCGTGTTGTACACTACTGAAGAAACTTGACTAAAAAATCTTAATTTTATCATAAAGTCAGACCAATTTGATAGATTAAATAATCATGCAAGATTATGGATCTATTGATGTTCACACATTGCAACATTGTTCCTTTCTTTATTCTCTCTTTTTTTTTTTTAGAAACAATAAAACCCAACCACGTATCATCTCTATTAAAAGTCGGATTTTTCAAAAGGATTTCTTATTTTAGTTCTCAAAATAAAATTACAATAACCCTTCGTTGTTGAAAAATAATTAAATAAAAACAAAATATTTTGAAAAAAAAAGGATCAATAATTGAAAATTATTTTAAAATGGTTACGGATTTTAAACATACAATATTTGCTGATGTTAATAAAATAAATAACTAAAATGAAATAAAAATTATTTTTAAATTAATAAATTAACAATCAGTTTAAATCAATAAAAGCTTTTCATTAATTAGTAAAAATCTAAAACAAACAAATATCAAATATTAGTAAATTATTGAAATTTTTTTTAAAAAAAAATTACATATTTAATGTTAAAATATAAAGTTATTGTTTACATGTCTGCCTATTACCAAAACAAATATTTTTAATTAAAATCTCGAAAAAAAAATTCTTATTTATTTTTGAAAAGCCAATACCTTTTTATTTCGATCTAAAAAAATCACAACCAGATATTGAATGTAAGACTTTATTTAAATAGTAAGTTTACTGTTATTACATTAACAATATTTATAAAAAAACCAATTAATTGTAACCTATTGCAACTAAATTAACTACACAAAATTTTATCAAGTAGATAAATTTATATAAATTGCATTGAATAGTTAATGCCTGTTCAGAATAATAAGATTATTGCTAAAGTAAATATTTATTTGATTAGTATGATTGTTTGAATTTTATAAAATATTAAGTATTTTAATAAATATTAAATTGTTGTTTTTGATTATTTGTACTTGGAAGTTTTTTTTATTTTATGTCAGATAAAAGTGAAAGTTGTTAAGTTACAAATCATTGTTTTTATACTTTATAAAGACTTTTAAATATGTAATTAATTAATTATTTATTTTTTTGAATATAATAAAGGTGAGATTTGTAGTTATATATGACTAAACCAAATAAGTTTTAACTTATTAAATTAATTTTATTTGTAAAATTTATTGCTATTGCATTTTCATAATTTGATTTTAATATAATTTAAGTAATCTATACTTAACAATTACATAAATATTTCGATTTTTTATAAAAATAATCAGATATTACATGTTTTGTAATTGATCAATAAAATTATCAAATTAAAATTCTTTTCTAAACTATTTTCTTATTATTCAAAAAGACATTTGCCTGAAACTTCTTGACTTTTGTCAATAAAACCTTTTTATATTTCTTTATTACTTTTTCTAAGTTCATTAACAAAATAAATAAAGTGATATATATCAATTAATAATACTCTAAATATGTATTGATAGTAATTACTCCTGCTAATTATTATTGATTTAAATAGAAATCAATATGTATTAGAGTTTATGAACTTTGATTTAAATTTTAAAAATCTCAATTTATAATGATATAATAATTTTAAATAAAAATCAATATATATTAGAATTTATTGATTTTGATTTAAATTTTAAAATCTCAATTTATAATGATATAATAATTAAAATAAAAGCAATTTATTCTTATTAAAAGCAAATTTATTTGTTATATGTATTACAACAAATTTTTATATTTAAATTTTAATTAAATCTCTATTATCTTTACCAATATCAAATAATACATCTTGTTTTTCTTGTAAAAGTAATATTAAATTGTCTTATTGGTCTCTATTTAATTCAGTTTTTTTTTTGTTCTTGTTTTAAAGTTTCTTACAATTGTTTTTAATTTATTGTATTTTTTAGTTTATTATTTAAATTTTCTTTAGCAGAATTCCATAAAGAACCATTATCATTAAAATCTCTTTATTTAATAAATATATTAAAGATTATACAAAAAAAAATATCATATTATAATCAATTACTTACAAGAAAATACTCAATCAATGTTTTATTTGCTTTTCAAAACAAATATATTCTTGAATAAAGAATTCAAAAAAATATCACATACAGCAAAAGTAAACACAATATTTATTGCTTAAAATTAAAACAAATATTCAGAAAATATTGTCCTTATAATTGAGATTGCCCAATAAATACTTTTATTATTTAATTAAAAAAATAAACAATAATATTCAAATATTTCTATAAACTTTTTCCATGTTATAATAGTAGCTGATGAAGTATTGTTTTTTAAAAATAGTAATTGCTCTGAACCAAAAACTTATTATATTGTCATCCTAATGCTTTTTAATATTATACCTTTGTAATTTTTTATTTTTGCCAAAAGCTTTTAATTTAATTAAGTTCAAATCAATTTAAAAATAATTAAAAATACTTGAATTATTTTATTTATACTTTTCATGCTATACTATTTACTATAAAATAAATTTGTAAACTGATTATAACTCAAACTAATATTTGAAAATTTTGTTTTGAGATATTTATGTAGTGCATTTTTTAAAATAATTGGATCTGAATAACTATATTTTAAAAACAAGTATTTTATAATAGTTAAACATATTTTTTAAATTATTAAAAAAATGTAAAATTAAATTTTGCTTAAATTTTATTAATTAAAATACTTATATCCATAACTTAAGAATTAAAATTATTTTGTTTATTTTTTTTTTTTATTTCAGCCTTAATTTCTTAGATATCATTACTAGGTTTTCTTATCAAAATATAAAGTTGCTGTTATTGTAAAAAAAGTCATTCATCAACTTGTCATTTATAATATTGTCATTCTTTTTTTTTTAATGTTAGAAGGGCATCAGATACAAAACTTTATTAATATATATAATATATTCAAGTTATATTAAATATCTTTATAGGATTAAACTTGTAAATTAATGTTAACATTTCTATAATACTAACTATTGCTACCTTAAATCTACTTAATATACTTTAGGTTTGCTTTAGTGCTGGATGGTTACACCCTTCCAGAGCTAAGATTAAAACTTGTGATTTGATAGGATTATTATTGGAACTGGTTTGTGAATCTATTGCTTTCATTATTAAATTTAGCAAACTTATGTTATTCAATAATATCTATTGTATTTGTCTTTTATTGATGTTGCTGATTGGAGAGGAGTTATTTTTTTACTTAATTCTTGATACTATAGATATGTTGGCTGTTGCTGATCTTGAAATCCAAATTAGCAAGAACAATAGAACTAATATTTTGTTTGCCAGTTTTTCTTAACTGGTAGCAGATAGATATATGCTTATTTGTATTATTCTGCATACTATTTTATCCAGCTTAGCTTTTTGTCACAAGTTTATTTTGTGTATAGTATCTTTTGTAACCGATTGGTTTTTTTTGAAGCTGATTTTCCTAATAAGTTTAACTATACTAGGTTTCAATTTGTTTTTGATTTTCTCATAGGCTATAATATTTTTATAATATTCAAAGATATGGCCTTGAGTTTTTACTTCTGTGAAGCATCTGAAACATAATTTATCTATATACACTAAATGAACAAAAGTATCGCACATCTTAAATTTATTATTATATAAAAATGTACAATATAACTTTATTTAAAATTTTAATATGTTAATATTTATATTTTAAAAAAACAGTAAACATTAAATTAAATATAAATACATCTACCCTTCCAGTATTTTTAATTTCAAAAATGTATCATTTAACTGAAA